TCACTATAAAACCCAGGCTAGCCTCAAACTTGTGATCTTCCTGCTTCAGCCTCCTGAGTGCTGAGATTACACCACCATGCCCTCCCTGATTACCTTGATTAGTCAGACCTTTACTGATCATCCACTGTGTGCAGCTAGAGAGGGTGCGATACCAGGCACTGTCTGTAGCCTGTCACAACGGCCAGTCTGGCTTTTACAGAAAGGCCCTTGCTCTCACCTGCCCTCTAGTGTGGGTGTCCCCTCCTGGACCCACCATGGCACAGCCAAGACCAGGATGCAAGTTTTTTGGGGTTTTTTTCAGTACTGGGGATTGAACGTAGGGCCTTCACACTGAGCTATATCTGCAGCCCTTATTTATTTTGAGACAGGATCTTGCTAAATCATTGGGCTAAAACTTGCTAAAGAACTGGGCTCAGGCTGGGCTTAAACTTGTGATCCTCCTTCCTCAGACTCCCAGAGTGCTAGGATTACAGGCATGTGCTTCTACACCTGGCTTCAGACTGCAACTTCTGACAGAACTATTCTGAAACTTCAAAGCCTACCTGAGGAGCCTCCAGAGGCAAAGAGCTGCCTCCTTGTGGAGTCTCCAACCACACAGCTTCTTAAGACTAGATCCAGACCCACTGGTGAGTCACAAAATCAATTTACTGAGTTATAACCAGAATAGTTCATTACTGTCCTTCATTCACATTGCATTTCAAGAGACACAGCCTCATTTACGACAAACCAATACCCAGCATCATACTAAATGGGAAAGAACTAAAAGCAACCCCCCCTAAAATCAGGAACAAGACAAGAATGTCCACTTTCACCCCTTCTATTCAAGTAGTACTTGAAACATTAGCCAGAGCAATTAGGCAAGAGAAAGAAATAAAAGGGACACACACAGGAAAGGTAGATCTCAAATTATCATTGTCTGCAGGTGGCATGATATCTACACACAAGACCCAAAGAACTCCACCAAAAAACTCTTAGAATTAATGACCAACTTCAGCAATGCAGCAGGATACAAGATCAACACACAAAAGTCATTAGCGTTTGTGTACACCAACAATGAACCAGATGAGAAGAAAATTATGAAAACAATACCATTCACAATAGCTTCAAGAAAAATGAAATACCTAAGAATAACCTAACAAAGGAAGTGAAAGACCTCTACAAAGAAAGCTACAGTACTCCGAAGAAGGAGGTTGAAGAGGACATCAGGAAATGGAAAGATGTCCCCTTGCTCCTGGATAGTAGAACCAATATTGTCAAAATGGCCATACTTACAAAACTGTTATACAGATTCAATGCAGTCCCAATCAAAATACCAACAGCATACTTTACAGATCTAAAATAAACAATCTTAAAATTCATAGAGAGCCAGAAGAGACCCAGAAGAGCAAAAGCAATTTTGGGCAACAAGAGCAAAGCAGGAAGTTTAGTAATACCTGACTTCAAGCTATACTACAAAGCAATAGTGATCAAAACAGCATGGTACTGGAACAAAAACAGATACATGAGTCAATGAAACAGAATTGAGGATACAGAAACCTCCCAGATACATTTAACTATTTGATGTTTTACAAAGGGTCCAAAAGTGTGTTTGCTGTAGGAAAATTAGCCTATTCAACAAGTGGTGCTGGAAAAACTGGTTATCTCTTTGCAGAATATTGAAACTGGACCCTTATCTCACACCATATACTAAATTAAAATCAAAATGGATCGAAGGT